CCAGCGTGGATAAACAGGGAGCTTTTCCTGAGGTTCCAGGACAAAAGTAGAATCTTCTTCCTGTGAAAGAAGGGACAAGAAACTTGAGGAAAGTACAAAGAAGTTAGGATGTACAGGGAGAAAATTAGAAAGGCAAAAGCCCAGCTTGAACTCGACTTGGCTGTGGGGGATAAAAGAGAATAAAAAGTTCTTTTACAAATATGTTAATAGTAAAGAGAGTAAGACTAAGAAGAATTTCTATCCTTTACTGGATGCAGCAGGGAATGTGATCACTGAGGATAAGGAAAAGGTTGAGGTTCTCAATGCTTTCTTTTAAGTCAGACCAGTTATTCCTAACTCCTGACCTGGAGTTCTTGCATAGAGAGGAAAATAAATCTCACATGATTCAGATAGAAACTGTTAGAGACCTACTAGTCCACCTAGACTGCCACAAGTCCATGGAGCTGGATGGGATCTACCCAAGGGTGCTGAGGGAGCTGGTGGAGGCAATAGCCAAGCCACTTCCCATCATCTATCAACATTCCTGGTCAACCAGAGAGGACCCAGAGGATTGGAGGCTTGCGAAGTTGTCTCCATCTATAAGATGTGTCGTAAAGAGGATCTGGAGAACTACTGGCCTGTCAGCCTGACCTTGGTGCCAGGAAAGGTTACGGAGCAGGTAACCTTGAGGAAAGTCACACAGCAAGTGCAGAACAACTGGGGAATTGGGCCCAGACAGCATGGGTTCGTGAAAGGCAGTTCCTGCTTGACCTATGATTGAGTGACCTGCCTGGTGGATGAGGGGAAGGCTGTTGATGTAGTCTGCCTAGACTTCAGCAAAGCCTTTGACACTGTCTCCCAAAGTATTCTTCCAGTATTCTCCTGGAGAAGCTGGCAGCCCGTGGCTTGAACAGATAAGCTCTTTGCTAGGTAAAGAACTGGCTGGACAGCTGGGCCAAGAGTGGTGCTGAATGGAGTCTCATCTACCTGTTGACAGGTCACAAGTAGTGTTTCCCAGTGGGCAGTATTGGAGTCTGTCCTGTCTAATGTCTTTATTGATGACCTGAATGATGGGATTGAGTGCACTGCCAGTATGTCTGCAGATAATACAAAGGTGGCAGGAAGTGTCGATCTTCCTGGAGCCCTGCAGAAGGATCTGGACAGGCTGGGTAGCTAAGCTGAGGCCATTGGGTTGAAGTTCAACAAGACCAAGTGCCAGGTCCTGCACTTTGACCACAACCCAGGCTTGGGACAGAGTAGCTGAAAGACTGTGTAGAGGAAAGGGACCTGGCAGTGTTGATTGATGTTAGGCTAAACATGAGCAAGCAGTGTGCCTAGGTGGCCAAGAAGGCCAATGGTATCCTGTCTTGTATCAGAAATAGTATAGCAGGAGCAGGGAGGTGATCATTCCTCTGTACTCAGCCCTAGTGAGACCGAACCTTGAGTACTGCGTCCAGTTCTGTGTCCCTCACTACAAGAAAAACAATGAGGCCCTGGAGCATGTTAAGAGAGGAGCAACGAAGCTGGTGAGGGGTCTGGAGCACAAGTCTTATGGAGAGCGGGTGAGGGACCTGGGGTTGTTTAGTCTGGAGAAGAGGAGGCTCAGGGGAGACCTCATTGCACTTTACAACTTCCTGAAGGGAGGTTGTGGTGAGGTGGGAGTCAGACTCTTCTCCCATGTAACTAGCAATAAGACTAGAGAGTGGCCTAAAGTTGTGCCAGGGGAGATTAAGGTTGGACATTAGGAAATACTTCTCTAGGAGAGTAGTCAGATGCTAGAATGGGCTGCCCAAGGAGGTGGTGGAGTCACTGTCCCTGGAAGTGTTCAAGGAACATTCAGATATTGCACTGAGGGACATGGTTTAGTGGGAAATATTGGTGATAAGAGGACGGTTGGACTGGATCATCTTGGAGGTCTTTTCCAACCTTGGTGATTCTATGATTTTACTGGAAGAAATATGGCTCGTTGGATTACACAGGGAAGGTAGAGTTCTCTCTTAGTTGAGATCCATCATTTAGCTAGTGAACCAGACCATAGCGATATTGGGAGTACTACTTCTTAATAAGAGTTCAGGAACTTTAAAAGGACATTCACCCTAGTAAAGAATATACATGATAGTACAGTCTTAGGAAAAGAAGATAGTTCTTAGTTCCTGGGAAGGGAAAACCTCAGACTTGTACTGGGGGTATTAGGCAGGGCTCCTCCAAAAAGGCAACGAGGCCACTAGCTAAGTTGAAGTGCCTCTATACCAATGCGTGCAGCACTGGTAAGCATGGGAAATAAACAGAAGGAGTGTCGTGGTTTTGTTTTTCAGTATTCCACATCATAACATCATGTAGTGCACAGGGAGTTAAAGTGTTAATGCTCCAATTCTGGGTACCCACACCCGTATACATTAATGGAAGTCATGGGATCTAGGCCATCCAGGTGGGGTGGTCTCTTACTGCCTTCCAGTGGGTGCTGGAGGGTTCCAAGCCTTTTCAGGTTTGACTCAGTCTCAGGAACACTCTCCTGTATTATTTGATTTATTAGTCTCAATTTCAATTAGATTGTATTATATTGTGTTATCTTGCATTCTGATATCATAGTTAGTAAAATAAGTTTTCCTTGATAGATCGTTGCTGCTAGGTTTTTTTTTGTTTTGTTATGTTTTTTCCTTCATTGAACCCAGCTCCCATCTCCCTACCCCTTTTCTCTTTCCCTTCTCATTTTTGGGGTTGGGGGGGAGGCGGGCAGGGGCCTACTGCCCCCCTGCCATGGGCATAGATTGATCTAATTAACTCTGTGACAAGGAGCTAGAAACTGTGGTGCAATAGGGAAAGTATGACGTAATTGCTATCACGGAAACATGATGGGATAAATCCCATGATTGGAATACCCTGATTGAGGACTACAGGCTTTTCAGAAGGGATAGACAGGGTAGAGGGGGTGGGGGAGTTGCCCTCTATGTTAGGAAGTGGATAGATTGCAAAGAGCTGTGTCTGAGGAACAGCCAACGATCAGGTCAAGAGCTTGTGGGTAAAAATCAAGGATCTGTCCAGTAAAGAGCATCTAGTGTTTGGGTCTACTACAGGCCACCTGATCAGGAGGAGCCTGTTGACAAGGCCTTCTCGCTTCAGCTGCAGGAAGTATTGCGCTTGCGGGCTCTTTTCCTGATGAGGGATTTCAACCACTCAGATATAATAGGGGCATGGCAGGTAGCAGAAAATCCAGGAGATTCCTGTCTGTCTGAGTCTGTTGAGGACAACTTCCTGGTCCAGATAATAGATGGACCATCCCAAGGTGAAGCCTTACTCGACCTGGTGCTCACCAATGCAGAGGAGAGTGTTAGAGAGGTTAAGATTGGAGGCAGCCTGGGCTGCAGTGACCATGCCTTGGTGATTTGTGATTCTTGAGTTTGTGATCTTGAACAATGTGGGCCTGGCAAAAAGCAGAGCAAGGACCCTGTGATTCAGGAGAACAGAATTCTGGCTGCTCAAGGAACTGCTGGGTGGGATCCCCTGGGAAACTGTCCTTAAGGGCATGGACACAGAACAGAGCTGGTAGCTCCTTAAGGACAGCCTTCTGAGAGCACAATGCTCTCCATCCCACAGCAGAAGAAGTTGAGCTGGGGAGGTAGGTGACCATAATGGCTGTGCAATGACATGCAGCATAAACTGAGGGAAAAACAGAAATGGAAGCAGGGTTGTATAGCCTGGAAAGAATACAGGGACATTGTTTTGATAGAACAGCAACCCACTGAAATATACTTTTCCACTCAAAATAAAATGGTATTAGAAAAATTAAAATGTGATGTAGAAGTTTTTCACAGTCAAAAGTTAATTTAAGGAATGCTAAATACTTAAAGGAGGGAGGTTGTTTGTTGTTGTTTGTTTTAACTCTGAAGATCAAGAAATCAGTTTTATATATGTAAAATGTGCATAAATATGTCATATAAGTGCACATATATTTATACACACACATACGACTGCTCATTAAAACTTTTAAAGGCAACAGTTTACTTAGCCATGACTCACATGAAACTACTGGAAATTTAAATGTTCAGAAGAAAAGATTTGGGCCTAGCAAGCTCATGTTTTGTCTGGAAACTGTTGGATGTTGCTTTTGTTCAGTGGTGAATCAGTACAGAGGCTGGAATAAGGTCTTCTTAAATATATCTCCAAAAGAAAACACAATTTAAAATTATAAGAAATCTTAATCAAAATAATAATATAATTATTCAATATCCCTGCTCTGAAAGTTATTCAAAATTAATTAAGTTCTGTGGGTTCATAAAATGTATTCTACCATCATAATGCATTTCAATAATATTAGGACTTTGGATTAATATGCCATTGCAAAGTTTCATGTTGGTTTCTAATAATATGTTGAGTTATATTTTCTTTATAATGGGATTTAATGACAGTTTAACCAGCCTTAATTAAATTTTGCTTTATAAATCATTTTATTGAGAAGCGCAGTGAAATTTTCTAAGTTTTATGGCTTTTTAATTAGAATGAATTAAGCAACTTATAGGAAGTGTCTATAAACTGTTTCCCTTACATTTCTAGTCTACTGTACAAGATTCTAAGCACACAATTTAAACTTACTTTGTTCAGAGTTAATGGACAAAAACAAAGGCCAGAAAAATATAAATTACCTTTTGGCATTTACTCAAGCAATTTAAAAATAGGTCCTGACAAAACTACATTCAATTATTTTTCTGTTTCTATGTGAGCATCTGTGGGATCTACCTGCAAAGGACCAATAGAAAGCACCTTCTTTTAAATATATAGATCTGCTCTATCCATTATAACTAAATTCTGATATTTTTATTACAATTTTAGCATACAATCTTACTTTCATTTTATATGTTTATATATTAATTACAAATACAGTTGTTAATAATCTCTGGTTTTTTTTTCTTATCATCTGTAAGAAAGATGGATATTAACTAATCCTATGTATATATTAACTTCAACAACTACTTTTATTTTCTTCCAGTGTTGTTATTAAATCTGTGATGCTTTCCTCTTCTCAGGAGAATATAATTGAAGTTATAAGAAATCAAGAATTTTTACTTCTACCAGCTGAAGAACTCCATAAACTTCTTGCTAGCGATGATGTGAATGTTCCTGATGAAGAGACCATTTTCCATGCTTTAATGATGTGGGTGAAGTATGATATGCAGAGGCGATGCAGTGACCTAAGTATGCTGCTCGCATATATAAGACTACCACTGCTTCCACCTCAGGTAATTTTATTTTAATGAGAATATAATAACTGTTATCGTGAAAACTGCAGCAAGAAAAAGATAAAAAGATTTTTTAAAAGGATAAAAAAGAGGTAGTCATCTCTGGTGTTTTCCTGTCCAGCTGTTATGCATGCTGTGGTCTTACTTTCTAGGAAGCATCTGGACATCTGCTTGCTGATGAGAATCTGTGAATGAATTCTTCTTTCTGCTTAACCAACACACACAGCTTTTGTTTTTCCTATGAGACTGTCATATCAATGTAATGAGCCTTCTCACCTTCCTTCTATTTTATCTCCATCCCATGAGAAAAAGTGTATTTGTTTGGCTACTGACTAGAGTCCCATCACAGGCCTTCTTGGAAACCTACAGTAGGAATAAAAATAATAATGATAAAAAAACCTTCTGCTGGCTAATCTTAGTTTGCAGCATGCCAATGCTGAGCAATGGGGCTGTTCTGAGCCTTTCTCCGTATCTATCAAAAAAAAAAAAAAAAAAAAAAAAGGCTATAAGCATTAAACTGCTGCAAGAGGTTGTGCAGAGATATTGTAAAAGCTGTTGAAATTCATATTTTTGAAATTCATAGACAAAGAAGTATATGGATTCTGAGATCTTCTGATTGCACTGAGTGGACCCCCATAGAACAATCAGTACTAAAGTTTTGATGCCCTTTCTGTGGATGTTGGCAACACAGCATGTAATAACCAACTTGAAATAGAGAATTAGGAGTGTGGGATGTATTTCCTCAGATATACTAAAATGGATTTCCTTTCATATAATTATATTTCTATTAATAGGGAATATGTTTGGTTAGATGTTTTAATCAACCATATCTTTCTGGACTCTCTGCAGATAGAGGATGCATCTCACTTGCTCAGATTAGTGTAGAATTAAGAGAGAATGTTTAAATACAGTGCAGTGATAGCCTCCAGGTTCCCATGCAATTGCACTGATGCTTCTTAATGTTTTCTCTGCAGCTGTCCTGGTATTTGATACGCATCAGTGGAAATCTTAGGCATAGCATATGATTCTCTGACATGCCCAAGTATTTATTCTGTTTCAGTTAATGTTTGAAGAATATGGAAAGAAAGATGAATGTATATTGGAGTAGGCCTTCATAATGTAACTAAATACTGTTCAGTGTAAACAAAACATTCATAGACACCCTGAGAAATATAAGGGAAAGAGCAGAAAAGAATGCTAGGAAGGAGATGACTAAAACAAGAACTGTTGTAATTCATGATGCTAAGATTTACAGGCAGTGTTTCAGAGAGAGTTTATGAATTTTTCTTTGTTCTGTTTTTGTTTGTTTTACATTTTTCAACCTAAAATTTGTTAGATAAAATATCAGTAAAGGTATCAGCAAGATATCAAAATAATTCTACGTTTAGAAGCTCAGAAGTTATCTAGACATCACATGCTTTGCTTACCTCTGTGCTGCTAACTGCACATAAACAAGTTCTCCCTGAATTACCAAGCTGAGTGTTTTTCCATAGAAACAAACCCCTGTACAGTTAACTGGATATTTTCAGATTTGCTTTTAGGTTTCCTTTAGTGTCTCTATGGCCCAAAAATGTAAGGACACCATGAGACATGTCTAATAGCACTAGCGTCCCTTGTTCATGTAATCAAACTGTGTTCACTTGAGTTTATGGTGTCCTCATGGGAATATCCTGGATAACTTAAATAATCTGAAGCGCAACTATATCTTACGCTTAGCAATTTAATTAAATCCTAGATTTCCTCTGCTTATCATGGATGCCTCGCACATATAAACATGTTGGCATCACACATCAGTGGCATGCACCTATAAATTTCTAATACAGTTGTATTAACCTCAAACTGAATTTTATTATGAGTCTTTGAGAAAACATCATAAAACTTCTTTGTTCAGATTCAAGTCAAATTTTTGGAGATAACATGTTTTTTTCTGAACAACCAGAAGGTGGGTGACCAGCGATAAGAGTATGTGAAAAAATTAACAGCCTCAAAACCGTTTAAAAAGTTATTTTTGAATTATATAGTTTTTCAATGTTTTTTTTTTTCTATTATATCTAAAAACTAAACTTTATGCTTGTGTATCATTGATTATTGCATCATATAAATCTTTGCAGTTACACTAAAAAAGTGTTTTAAAAAAATGTTTCCAGATTGAAGTTAAGTTTTAATAGAAATTATTGAGAACAAGGTGGAAATTTATTACCACAAGGTTAATTTTCCCCCATAGTGGTTTACAGTTAAGTATAAATCAAACAAAACATTCTGTCAAATTAATTGCACTGAAAATTAACTGATAAGCTGTTTGGAGGAAAGTAGGGTCAAAACTGAAAACTAATCATTAGACAACTGAGAAAACGGATTCGTGTTCCTTACTTCTAAATTCACTAAAAGAAGACGAAGTCATAGACTGCAAAGATTACAAACAGTTTGAAAAGACTGCCTAAGGTCCTCCTAAAATGAAGGCTTAAATTTGTAGCCTGTGTTTTTATCATAGCTCATTTCACTCTAAAGCTTCTGTAATTACACTGGCAGTGTGGTCAGACTTCAGTAATAGGGTATCACAATAATTCAGAATTCAGACAGAGTTCTCATCTTTTTCTGTTCCTTTCCCAAAAGAGAATGACTTATTCTGTGTTTATGTCTCTTACTCTCTGACTGAAACCGCAACAGAAAACATCCTTCAATAATTCAGCAGCATGTATGAGCTTCCACCTAGCCCTATATGTTCTGCTAGTGATGATGTAACCCCATTTATAAATGTAAAAGGCTCAATAGTTTTTGCTCAGTGTCTGTACACATTATAACGAAACTGTCAATTTTGAGGCTCCAGCACCAGCCAAGAGTGTGGGTAGCTTCTACTGGGAAAAACATTGCTTCTATGTTTTTTTTTTTCCCCAAGATTAAGAAGAAGTGCTAATGGTGTTGGGTTTCCAGAGGAATTTATAATCAAGAGTTAGGAATCAACATGACAGTAGCTATCGAGACTAGCATGACTAGTGAAAAATGAAGATGTTAAGCATATGTTTTAATGGTTCTCAGAAAGAAATGTGTGATTAAAAGAGTATAAACATTTACATGCATAAATAGTTAAGATAACTTACACTCCACCAGCATACTGTGTTTATAATGGATGTTTTTGCAGTGGCTTGTAAATGATGGGTTAACTAAAAAGTGGCATGCTAAAAAGTAGCATAAATATTATTGCCTTTATCTCTGTGAAACTTTAAGTAATACCATCTTCACAGGCTTGCAGATCACCTGAGTAGGATAATACATGATCCTGATATATTAATTACAATGTGTCTCAGACCTGGTTAAACTGATCACAGAATGGCCGGGATTGGAAGGGACCTCAAGGATCATGAATCTCCAACCCCCCCCTGCCACATGCAGGGCCATCAACCTCCCCATTTAATACTAGACCAGATTGCCCAGGGCCCCATCCAGTCTGGCCTTGAACACCTTCAGGGACGGGGCATCCACAACCTCTCTGGGCAGCCTGTTCCAGCACCTTACCACTCTCTCTGTAAAGAACTTCCCCCTGACATCCAATCTAAATCTTCCCTTCCTCTACTTAAAAGCATTTCCCCTTGTCCTGCAGTTATCTACCCTTTCAAAGAGTTGATTCCCCTCCTGTTTGTAGGCTCCCTTTATGTACTGAAAGGCTGCAATGAGGTCACCACACAGCCTTCTTTTCTCCAGGCTGAACAAGCCCAGCCCCCTCAGCCTGTCTTTGTAGCGGAGGTGCTCCAGTCCCTTGATCGTCTTTGTGGCCCTCCTCTGGACCCTCTCCAACAGCTCCCTGTCTTTCTTGTACTGGGGCTCCAGACCTGGACGCAGTACTCCAGATGGGGACTCACAAGAGCAGAGTAAAGGGGTACAATCACCTCCCTGTCCCTGCTGGTCAGCCCTCTTCTGATGGAGCCCAGGATACCATTTGCCTTTGGAGCTGCAAGAGCACACTGCTCGCTTATGCTAAGCTTTTCGTCCATCAAGACCCCCAGGTCCTTCTCTGCGGGGCTGCTCTCAAGAACCGCTCCTTCCAGTCTGTTTCAATGCCTGGGATTCCTCCGGCCCAAGTGCAAAACCTTTCACTTTGCTGTGTTGAACCTCATTAGGTTCACCCGGCTGATCTTTCAGCCTGTTGAGGTCTCTCTGAATGGCATCCCTTCCTTCCACTGTGTTGACTGCACCACTCAGCTTGATGTCGTCAGCAAACCTGCTGAGGGTGCATTCGATTCCATCACCTATGTCATTGATAAAGATGTTAAACAGCACTGATCCCAAGACAGACCCCTGGGGGAAGCCACATGTTACTGGCTTCCACCTGGACACAGAACCATTGATGACCACTGTTGCTATCGGCTGGCTAGGCACAACACAACACAAGGCTCTAGACCCTTCCGTTCTGGACATCCCCAGCCCAGGGACAAACGGGTCGAACACACGGTGTCAAGCACCAAATGCCAATTTAATGCTGCACAACGAAGCTCTTTATACCCGTACACCCGACCGCCCTGGAAACCCGTGACACCCGATTGCACCCACGACCCACCTCCCATGAGCCCCATACCTGTACCTCTACAACTCCCCCCTCTTTATGATAATTCATACGACCCTGCAGTAGCACCCCACATAAACCCTGTTTCCCCACCTCCCAGAATTATAAAGCAGCTGGTTGTATCTTGCTGGGCAGCACATCAGGTAGCAATAAGTAATGGGCACTGATCAGGTTTCATCTGATCGGATCATTTAGCATCTGGAATAACACTGGGGCGAAACAAATAAGCAGCAAGACGATTATGACCCATGTGAGCACGGTCCCTAGGATACTCCCCAGCCAGGACCAATCCCATGACCCCAGTCCTCCACCATGGTGATCCTCTTTGAGGTGTCTTGGAGTTCCTGACCCAGCTGTTGCACTCATTGCAACAGATTCTCCACAGAGCCGTTGCTCCGAATAGCAATATCGTGCAATCTCCTTCTGTTCCTGCCAGGAGCAG